ATAAACTGTACTTACTACACTTGAAACAGGCGTTCCTATGCTCCTCCGCAATACTAAGCTAGGAAGTGCTTTGTGCATCTAGGATTTAAGGGCAGAACAGAAGACAAGGCATTGAAATTGATGATTTCAAAAGATATCACAGATGTATGCTTCACCTCTATAAAATTTATGGTACAAAGAAAGTCTCATCCTTTTGTATTTTTCCATCAGATCTCTTCTGTGGCTTAGATCTGCCTTTATATAAATTTATTTCCACAGACAAAAGATTTTTTACTGCCAGAGGAGGGGTACACTTCCTGATGATTTTGCTGAGTATAGAATTCACACAGAGGAATTGTAAATCTTCAGAAAAGCTCTCAGAGTGTAAACACATTAAAATTGGAACCTAAGTTATTAACATTATATATTAAAAGCACTCATTTTCTGCATTTACACTTTCACAGTGTGGAAAAGCTGATTGAGGTTGCACGACATCATATTGAGAGTTCTAGCAAAATCCAGTATGAAATTACTTTAGAAGAAACAGATTTCTTCATCAGCAGTGATATAAAAGTGATCCCTGACCCTGTTCCTCCACCACATGTTCAACATGTAGAGACCTCTGGAAGTGGTACTCTAACTATTTCACAACTTACTACACTTCATAAGCAGTTTCTACAGGTGGCACCTAAAGGTAAGAAAAATTTTTCTTTTTCACTCCTAAAGGACTGTTAGTTACCTATCTAAAATTTAAAGTAACTGCTGAGGGCTATTAAACATTAGTTACCTGTATTGTTAAAGATCATACTACAATTAAAGATCGTGCTACATATAAAAGCAAAGTCATAGTGCAGCATATTGAAAATGTGAAATACCAGGCCACTTGAAATCTTTTAATGTCTTTAATATCAGGCTATGGGCCTTATATTCTGAGATCACATACTTAATAGTCTTCCAGCGGTTGTCTGAATATGTTTTTAAGAGTGGTATATATATCATGCTTACTTTACTTAAAGATGCAAGTCTTTAACTTGTTTACTAATTTGTAGCTCAACTGAAGCTGTATTATTTTAAAACATTTTTAAAGGAATCAGTATTTTCATGAAACTATTATACAGGGTCTATTATAACTATTAACCATTATATTCTTCAAGTCAATGTGTACCGGTTGGACGGTTTTCAAGTGTTAACTCAGATAATGTGGGTTTTTTTCCTTTCTACATGAGTTATAATTATCTTATAAGATAATTTAGGTAAGACAGTTTTATACTGAGATGGTAAGTATTTAAACACATATTTGCAGAGGGTTTCATTACTACCAGTTTTCCATATTGTAATTATAATTTTAGAAATTAAGATTGTGAAATAAAATGTGTAAATGTACTTAGAATTTTGGATTCAACTCTTCCAATATAATTAGGGCACAACGACACAATGAAGTTGAATATAATTCTTTATTCAGAAATGCTTTTCAGGTATATTTATGGAGTAATTGCACTCACCTTTTAAGCATGAACCCATTTTAGGCAAAAATATGTTTACAGTTTTCCTTTAGAGAGATGCATATTGTCTTATCTATAGTGTAGGAGTGTGGGTGTGTCTGTAAGCATTCCAAACTCTTCTGTAGAGATTAATTTAGTAGATAGTATTGCATGTATATTGCCCTGTGAAACTAAAAATCTGTACATTTGTAATCATTAGATAGTACCATCCAAGTGAAACATAGATACCAGTTTGACTGGTCATTCCACTTAAAAGGTTTTCTTCGGGTTTTAATTCATTCATTCATTAAGATATTTAAACCTGAAAAATTTTGTCTAATACAAACTCTTAATATTCTTGGCATGACAGAACAACTATTTTCCTTGTAAATTGGTAATAACTAGCAGAAAAAAATTGAAATCTTTATCTTTCTACAATATTGTCCTTTTGATATTATTGTATTCATTAAAATGACCCGAGATAACTTACATGGCCATCAAAAAAGGTAAATATCTAATATCTAATAGTCACTAGACAGTAAAAGAATGCTGTTGCATGTTCTCTGGGACAATGCTAAGGAATTATTTTTTTTAAAATAAGGTCGCAAAGAACAGACAACAGTATTCTTCTACTGTCTGGTGACTATTAAGTCAAGATACTTACTTTTTTGGGTAGCTGAATTAGGATGGGAAGCACAAGCTGTGCTGTTCATCTTTAAAATACTTCCTCCCGTTCTCTTACACACTTTAAGACTGCATAAATCACATCCCAGATTTCCTAAGGCAACCACTCCCCTTCGTTATAGAGACTCCACAGGAAGAGTTAAATCCTTCCTGTTCTAAAACATCAGGATTTTTTTTCTCATTCTTCTGTCTCCACTTGTTCAATAGAACGCTTGACAGAAAATACATGCCTCCTTAGTAGTTAGTCTCTTACTGAACAAAAAAGGGAAAAACAATAAAGCACCCAGCATACTAGCAGTGAAACTGTTGGGCAGCAACTTTAAAGGAGATACAAAAAAGTGAAAAACTAATCTGTGTCTTAGAGAACCTCTAAACAGATCCAGATTTGCTGCCAGATCTTAGTGTTCTAATTCTTACTCACCTGAGCAGTCATCTGAGCATTCATTCATAATGAAAGAACACACACACAAGCACACAAGGCATAGACTGTAGTGTAAGTCTAAATAGAGTAAATCTACCAGTCTTCTCTACTATGCAAATGGCAAAATTTATAAAGCTATTCTGAAAATGGACTATTAGGCTTATTTTCTATAGCATTATGGAGACTGCATGAAGAATTTTACCCAGAAATCCAAGCAAAACAAAGAGTAACAAAGGAGAAATTATTATGATGGAAGAAATAAAAGTGTAAAGTTTTCTCACAGGATGTTTGGCAAATGTCAAAAGGATGTATTTTCAAGATATGTTTAACCAATTGCCAAAATGAAAGCAAAAAAGTGGGAGTGCTAATGTACTTAAAAGTTGTTTGGTATTTACAAAAGAAATCTTATAAAAATTGTCAACAGTTTTGTGTTTCCTAGGAATTTAAAGTATTAAAGAACTGCTGATTCATCACAGACAACTTTGTTTTATCCTGCACACTTGGTTCTCCATGGAAGCACATTGCTCACCATTATAAGCACCGATGGACAAAAAATACAGCCTATGCGGGACCTTCATACCTACTGACACAGTCTTTCATTTGATAAGGAAATATTTAATTTTATTTTTTTTTAATTCCAAGTGCCATTACCCAAACTCAAGCTGGCTCAGCAGTATTTGTTAATTACACTAACTCCTTTGCTTAATCTGTTTACAGTGCTTTCATGTATTGCCTCAGGAACTGTAGCAGTTCTTAAATGAAGCTATAAACACTCACCTTTTTTTACTTTTGTCTTCTACAGTCTCTTTGCAGGTGTTCTGTTTTTGTCAACACAATTAAACTATCTATTGGATCTCATCTTCTTTAGCACTATATTCCCTTTAGCACTATATTCTTCCTATGACCACATTTATTGTCAGTTCAGTTAGCACACATCTGGAATGTCTCAATTTTCTTCTCAAGCTGCTTCAGAGAATGCAATTTTGGTAATGGTGTGCATTAGCAAACAGATAAAGTAGATTCTGTCCCAGACTGTAGGGATGTTCTCCACCTTATGACTGAATTACACAAGTGAATTTTAAATTTTACTCATTTTTTCACAGTCACGATCACGAACCGTTCCAGTTTAAACTGGTTCCAGAACTGGTTATTCATCAGAAATAAAGTTTGGTCAGGTTTTCAGAACTTCTATATCCAATATGCAAAAAATGTTTAAAATGCTTATTTATAAAACTATAAAATATTCTGCTAAGATGTTACCTGTTCCCAGTAAAACACAGAGGACAGCCTATGACCAAATTGTATTGCTATTGTCAACTGAGTTTTACTGTGTTGCTAGATTTGGAACAGATGGACATATTAAAGTGTGCATCTAGTTCAGCTGATATTTTCCCTTTTTAATAGAATATTTTGTTGAGTGGAACAGTCAGAATGATATGCTGACCCTGGATAATATCTATAGATTGTGCTATCTTCCTAAGCACTTCTGTAGAAACAAATCAATTCAAGAACTTACAATAGTAATCCTCATGATTCAGCTTCAAAGTAAATAGAGACTGAAGTCCATATGTGAGCATAGAAATAAGTTTGTTGGCTCTAACTTAACTTTTCTAAGACTATATTTCTCTTCAACGTGCTTTTTTCAAAATGTGAAAATAAGAAAGGTTAAGTTTGTAGACAGAGGAAGTATCTTTTACTAGACAAATGACATAGATAGAAAATGCCTAAACTTTTGGAATATAAAATCCTTAATCGGACATCCAGGTAATGGAAAATTTGGTAATTCTACTGACTTAGTTTCACTTGCACTTTTTGTTATGTTTCTTATTAAATCGTGTGTGTTTTTTAATTTCAGACATCTGTGACTGTTTGCCTATGGTGTTTAAAAATCTGTGTATCCAATTACTTTTATGAAACATATTTAACATTTTTGTATATGTTCTGTGCCTTTGAATATATATATCCAAGTATTAAGATTTCAATCAGCTTTACAGAGGAACTCCTCTTTCCC